ACTCTTAAGCTTTAACAATGTCATTTCACAAGTTATTTTCAGTCATTCTTGATGGAGTGACAACTGTCCCCAGACGTGCTTTTGTGTTGTCACCCAGTTAGTACACCTCTAGTGGAGACTACAGCAACCATGCTGACATACAATGTGCAGACTGGGTTCGTTGCTATTTGCATATCAATGTCCTGACAATGTGACTTTAACGTGAGACTTTCTGCAGCAACAGGCAGATTATACCTAAGTAAGCTACCTGATGAATGTTTTGATCTAGCCTCGGGTATACTTAAATGTCAGCTTTAGTTTTGAAAGCTTAAATGTTTAGCAGATTATAGTTTGAAGTGACATTAAAAGGATATTTTTTCCCCCTCTTCGCCAATGTTAGTGTAGGGACTTACCTTAAATGATGCCTCTTAATCCGATCATCTTCTTCCTTACTGTCGTTTTTAGCTGTCCCTCCAGCACTGTTGCTGGTCTCCGATCCAGGCTGACTCCTCTTCGCTCATGTCCCACGGAGTCTGCTGCTCCATATACTTACCTTGTGGCTTTCCACATCGCCGAACATCTGAACTGCTCATGGCCGCCTCAAGATCCTTTGCGGCCGCTCGATACTCTTCAGATGTTCGGACGGGAGCACGCGGCGAAGACACATGCAAGTTTAAACATGGTTCAAAAGTCGACTACGTCGACTACTACTACTACTACGTCGACTACTACTACTACTACGTCGAGTAGTAGTAGTAGTAGTAGTAGTAGTAGTAGTAGTAGTAGTAGTAGTAGTAGTAGTTATATACTAAAAACATGAGGGTTTAATAACTCTTCCAGTGGAGTAATAAGCAGTATAAATGCTTTGTGTTCAGGAGGACAGTTATGGAAATAAAGGACATACCACACAATCAGTGAGATAAATTAATCTGTATACAATCCTATACGTAATACAGAAAAATTACAACATTTTAATGTATATGTGATTTCCTTACTACCACCACTATTTCATACACAGCACTGCTGGTGACAAAGCCTTTCTTTTTCATCCACAGAAGAGTATGATAAATACACTTGCTCATAGCAGTGCTCAGAAATCAGTGAGTCAGAAGCAAGTATGTGAATAGTTATTAATAAATTTCACTTCAAACAGAAGCATCTAGATCCCTGGTGCCCAATCCTGGGACCATTTGGTACTTACTGTTTGGCCCTCGGGCTCCACCAATAGTCAGTGCTTTCCTTACTTTCCCTCCCTTTATACCTGAATTCTATTCGCGAAAAACTATTTAGTTGATTTCCTTCATACTTCCTTACTTTTTCTGTGCTGTCCATTTTTTTTCTCATTTTTTTTTTTTTTCCTTTAACATTTTATAATGGATCTTGCTGAGAAGAATATCAGATATGGTGCCAGTAAATTCTTAAAGGGGCTGTAATGGCAGTGATCTCTAGCATTAGTCTCTGACAGTCTACTACAGCATGTTCCTAGTCTCCGACAATGCCTGTAATATGTTTGCAGTCTTTGACAATCTCATGTAGCATGCATTACATACACTGTATTTTATGTGCAGCCCTTTGGTGATGTCAGGGTCTACATATTAAGTATGTTGACCACCACCAAACTAGCTGTATAGGCCTGCTTCGAGGAGTGCATGCTATGTCACAAACTCCTCATGCCAGGTAGCGATATGAGCTTGAACTTCTTTTGTCATTATGTTCCTCAAGGGGTGGAGTTCATTCATAGCTCCACCTACTATCCTTTTTATGGCAATTGTGATGAAATTCAGACGTACAGATATGTTTGACAGATTTGAGAAGGCTCCACTGTCTTAAATAATAGTTCAGTGAAGAGCTTTTTGGTTCTTTTTGGCCCTTTTCACCAATACTTGTCGTGTTATACTTTCTTGTTAGTGCCCAAGCTATAGTCTATAAAAGGCACTGTTTCTATGCACTGCACTGATGCTGGCCAACAAGCCTGAAATAGCTGTATGCAGTATGGCTCTAAACAAGCAGTTCTGGATGTACACTGACCAAGGGGGTAAAGAATGATTTGCATGGCTCCACCGGCTATAATAAATGAAAAATAAACCTCTTATTTTTGTGATGGAATGAGACATGTAGATACCTTCTCTTCTAACAAGGCTCTACTGTGCTTTACACTGTTCCTGTAGAGAGCTGATGAGTTCCTTGTGACCCACCTCACTATAACATGCAGGGTTACATTTTCACAAAATAAATATTCTTCCTAAATATTCTAGTTCACCACACAACAGTAAACGGCTGTTATTTTTTTCGATAAGATAACAGCAATGCCTATATTGGAACCATTTCATTTATTAGATTTAGTGTGTAGCTTCTCTTAGTTGTCATGCCCCCATTTCTCACCTACTGTTAAGGAACCAATCATATTTCCCAGTAGTTCAAGCCCAATCCTGCCCTCCAAGCAACAGTAACCAACATCAGGAACCATCAGACTTCTGGTCACGTTCAAGTAATCAGCTTTTTTATTACTGCCTAACTTCTTAGAACATATTGGTTCTCATAGGGGAGATAGAATATTTCTGGCACAGATGATTATTTTGCAAAGAACACTGAGATATATTTAATGCACACAGAATGTGATGACTGCCTGTGTCTTTGCCAAGAACTGCCCACATTTATCACAATGTGGAACAAGCATACATTCCTGCTTTGTTCAAGCAGCATGTTACACAATATCTTGCAGTTAGCTGTTTCTTGTCATTTCTATTATTTTCTGGTACTTAATGGAAATATATGTCAAAATAAACATCCCTGACATATCAGTTATTTATTAATCTAAACCAGGGATAGGCAACCTTGGCTCTCCAGCTGTGCTGAAACTACAAATCCCATAAGGCATTGCAAGCCACAGGCATGACTCCCGGAGGCAGAAACATGATGGGATTTGTAGGTTGCCTACCCCTGATCTATACCAATGTATGCTATTTAGTAAAACAATGTGAAAGAAAATAAAGCATATAGGTGATGGGTATGCTGTATATTTGACTTATGGCAGGTTCTCTTACAGGAAGGTGGACAAATTGCATGCAGTGGCCGGCTGCCGGAGCATCAGGGACTGCATCATATCTACTTTTTACAATAGATGGTAAAGGAAAATTAGCAGGATTACATTACTTCTCTACATTACGTTTGCTAAGTGTGCTGGAAAGCCTCTCAGGTGCTTATTCTATAAAGAGATAACAAGAGGCAGCAGGAAATAGGCACGCTTCACTCCTTTATGTCACCAAAGGCAGTACTTGAAGTGTATCTAAAAGGCAAAACTTCATTTTTTTTAGTGTTTAATATATTAGGGAGGGAGTAAAGCCCAATCAAACTGTTGCGGTGTAGTAACGTGTGGCATATTGGTGCAATGAGGTGACAATCATTCTTCATGGCACCCCCAACGCATCTTGCCAACTCATACACGTTGCAGCGCAATGCAACGCACTGTGATGAATTACTGTGCATTGTGGTGTGCTCCATTGCAAAAAATGGTGCATGGCCGATTTTTTGTGTCGTCTGGTTCATTGTTAGCCCATTCAAATGAATAGACTGCCATAACCCAATGCATGTTAATGCAGCACACCAGACTGCAACAATATGAATGGGCACTTAGCAACACAGTCACGTTTTTATTGCTATTTCCCATTGGGGATATTCATTTTGTTTCTATTTGTCCTGGTGTTCACTGTCAATGGGACTGAAAGAAGCCACTGCAGATGTCCACGTCGCCTAGATGAGATCGACACGCAGCCTGGTGAAAGGAATTCTGCTTTGGGGACATGTATTTGCAGAACACGTGTTCCCAAAGCAGAATACATGTCCCCAAAGCAGAATACTATTCTGCCTTAGGCACATGTGTTCTGCTTTGGTATCTTGTATCCTGCTCTGGGGACATGTATTGTCAGAATACATGTCCCCAAAGCAGAATGCTACTCTGCTTTAGGGACATGTATCCTGCTTTGTGGACATGTATTCTCAGAATACATGTCCCCAAAACAGAATACTATTCTGCCTTAGGGACATGTATCCTGCTTTGTGGACATGTATTCTGAGAAAGATGTCCCCACAGCAAAATACTATTCTGCCTTAGGGACATGTATCCTGCTTTGGGGACAGGTATTCTCAGAATACCTGTCCCCAAAGCAGAATATTATTCTGCCTTAGGGACATGTGTTCTGCTTTGGCGACATGTATTTTCAGAATACATGTCCCCAAAGCAGAATACTATTCTGCCTTAGGGACATGTGTTCTGCTTTGTGAATATGTATCCTGCATTGTGGACATGTATTCTCAGAATACATGTCCCCAAAGCAGAATACTATTCTGCCTTAGGGACATGTGTTCTGCTGTGGGGACATGTATTCGGCTTTGGGGACATGTATTTAGTTCTGGTGACATCTGTATTTAGCCCTGGCGAGAAACTGCCCTAAAATCATCAGTCTGTGCTGTTTTAGAGAAAAAGTCACATGTTCCTTTAAGAAAAAGTATCGGTGATTGGTATCAGCAAGTACATGAGGGCCAGTACTTGGTCTTAAAGTGGAATTGGGACATCCCTAGTTTTAACCCTTCTCTACTCGCTGATGAGTTGTCAAAAGTGACAGGATTGCTTGCACTTAACATTATTGATTTGGGAATTGGCTATCTGACGTCAGACTGGAAGTGACCCCTAGCAACCAATCAGAATGGATCTTGACTCTGGTACTGGTCTGACATCATCAGAGTGAATGTGGATTGATTGCTTTGGCTTTCCACAATGAAGAATACGTGCTTGAGAACAAGCACTCTATTGAATAAGAAATGTTGTGTGCTAAACAGAACACATTACTACAGGGCCCCAAGATATGCATCAACTAGATTTACAACACATGTACAGTACTTATGAGAACTAGGAGTCAACAGCCAAAGAACAAACCATAAAACAAGGGAAACCATTTGTTTCAGTCATTTAAGCTAAAACTGACAGCAGGAATATACAATCTGCACATTACTTAGTAAATTACCTTGTTTACAACAACCACGATTTCACTTTCTCTGATTGTCAATTCATCTTCATTGAGGGCTTCATATGGGAAGAGAACTTTACAATATTCCTTGGCTATAAAACAAAAGCAAACATTGTGTGTGATTTATTTAGCAACAATAATCTGTATGCAAACAGAATGATGGCAGCTGACAACCGACTACTTCTACGGGAAGGAGCACATGGAGGATGATTCAATAAAACTGGAAAATGAAATTGAGAACAAACGCAAAGTTGTTGCCATTAGCATCCAATTTGGCTTTTAAAAGGAAATAAATAATTTGAGCTGCACTCTAGGAAGTGATTGATCATGACAGTTTACAATAACAGATGATGCAGCTCCCTTTAAGAGCCAAGTCATTTGCACCTATGATCGAAGGCTGTAGGTTTGGGAGTGATTTTATCCTTGGAAAAATCAAATATTTTATGGAGATTAAACTGGATTTTTAAATTAGTCATTTTCTAATTTTCATCTTTCTAGTTTTAACCAGTTGTGGACACTGGATGTACACATGCCCAAAAGCCTCATCAAAATACACAGGACATGTGTAGTATGCATATACAGAACTTGCTGTAAAAAATCATCTGCTGTAATAGCTGCTGTCATAAAATAGACTTTCTGTTGCTGTTTATAAACAGTTTAATTCATGATAGATCAAAAAGATGAGCTTCAATCTACATATGATGTCAGCAACCTGGTCATATTTAACCCCTTATTAACCCTTAGTATACCCTAAACGTTTCTAAATAACCCCTCCGTCCCCTTCTACCCTTACCTTTTATTTTCCTGCTGATTTTTTTTTAAATTCCTATTTTTCCAACTATTAATTTGTAATTAATTTTGCAATGATACTGGAATCATAATTTTTGTGCAATTGTAAACTGGACAAATAATAGAATACATTTTATATTTATTACCTACAGTAACACAATTTCTTTAAAACTAACACTAGAAGTCTATTTTTCTTTAGTTTTTAACATTTTTGTTTATTGATTGCATAAAGTATAAAATCATTTTTGCAAAAGAACATGGTGGTATTGCCCTACCTGATGTCTGATTGTATTTCAAAGAAACCATACTTACTCACTTTCTCGACTAGTTTGCTGTAGGGGACCACAAATTCAAGTCAAGCTGGAAAAGGATGCCTCTTCCTTTCCTTTCACAAAACTAATGTGGCTTTCTTCTAAAGCTCTTCTCATCTACCACTCTTCCTGCTTTATACACTTGGCCTATGGAAGTCTCTTAGGAGCACATATTGTCTCTTCACTAGGGATGCACCGATATTTTTCAGATACCAGTGCCGAGATTGGCATTTTCATGATAACTACCAGGGTTGCAGCGGCTGCAGCTGGGACCTACCTCTGGCGCTCCACCACTGTCCTGAAATCATTAGTCGATATTGTTTTCGAAAAACTGTCACATGACAAACAAAAATGTATAGGTACTTGTAAGTACTTGGGCAAGTATCAGTACTTGTACTTGCAAAAATGGTATCGGTGCATCCCTTTATTTATATTTAAAAAAACAAAATCATACATTAAAAGAGAGATGTACAAATCCCAGGAGCTCCGTGTGCTACTTAGAAATGACAGCTGCCTCCTAACTTTTGAATTTTTCTCTAGTCTAGTCTTGGAGCTCCAAAAGTATCTGTACATGTACTCGTACCGAGTACTGTACTTGGTATCGGTGCATCCCTACTCTCCACACTGTAAAAGTCCCATTATCACAATCATTGACAACCCTGAATTCACCCTGCAGAAGCGGTGATATTTTTCCTTCACAAAAAAAGTCTGCTAAACACTCTTATCTAACCCAATACCTTCACAACCTATCAATTCAAACTCTTACTCAACTATCTGATCTGGCATAAACCTGCTGGGGAGTCTGGCTGCAATACCTTCAGTTTAAACACTCTAAACTATCTATTTCCCAACATGAAAACTTATACAGAAAGTTTGTTTTTACTCATTTGCATCGCTGGGGAAGTTCCCGAACACGGCATCTCCTATTTATACAATGCTCTCCTTTATACATACGGGAGGCATGCAGGTGATACCAAAATAAACTGTTTATGTCTGACCACAAATTAGTCATAGGGAGCCACAACCATGAAAGGAATTATAAGCTATTTACTAACTGGTAGGGATCCACACATAAACTGTACCGAATCTGTGTTGGCACTCTACAAAAATAAGCACACTTAAGCACATATGGTGGCCCTGTCCTTAAATCAACCTTTCTGTGACAAAATCTCCCATATCTATGCAAAGGTTGCCATTTCTACACTCACAGGAACACTGCGGATTGTATTGTTCTACATCTTCCCTGGTTCCCTTGCAGGAGCCAGAAATCTCTTTTACGATTCTTCCTATGTGTGGCTAGAGATGTTATTCCTAGATACTGGAATACTACCTTAACCTCTTCTATCCATGACTGGATAATAGAACTGTGTATAAGGTGGATAGGACAACTAGGTGCCCTTCACCAATATACAGTATCTCTAAGTGATTGTTCAATAGATGGAACTCCTGAATTGGTTTTAAGAGCTTTTTCTACCGTATTATATTATATTAAAAACAATGTTTTTGGGGGATTTTTTTTGTATAACCTCTTTTTATTATCAAAAATAACATTTTCAGGAACAGAAAGGGAGGGAAGAGGGTTCATAAAAAGGGAACTATCAATTCAACAGTGGCAGTTCACAGATGTCAATGACAAAGTTATTGCTGAAAAAAACAGAGCCATAGCAGAAATTTCAAAATCGCTCTGGTGCATAAGGGCTACACTGTACAGGTGCGAGAGCTGAAGTTTGACAAAGAGGGCAGGTTAGAATCTCTTGCAGTTTTTTATTGATGCTTGAAGTGTGCTGTGGAGATTTCCCCTTACTTTATGTCCTGGAGACAATGCTGTCAACAGGCAGGACATGAAGGACATGAAGGTGATCCCCTACTGGAGACACGGACAGTAAAAAAAAAAAAAAATGTAGGAATACTAATGTTTTTGTAATCTGCTAAAAATTATTGTTTCATGTTTTCTGTGTCCCTATTGAAGATTTCCCCTCACTTTCCGTTCCTGTAACAAAAACAAGAAATGAGGGGGGCATTCCCTAACAGGGCAAAAGAGCAATCAGAACAAATACAGGTTCTATTTCACATGCGCGAGGGGGCGTGTCTGAGCGGACCTCTAAAGACGATCGCTCAAATCTAGAGAGCCCCCGGCCGGCCGGCCCGGAGGCAGTTAAAACATGATTACAAGAATGTCATTCTGATTTTATTGGCTCTGTAATTTACAATGGGCAGTGATTCATATGTGGACACATCCCAAAAATATAGAGGAGCTAAAAAAGGAAAACATTGTTATGTTTTGTATCCAAGACAGGCAGGAAAATCTTGAAAGGGAAAGGCTTTTTTTTGTCACAATGAGGAGGAGTTATTTCCTACTACAAACTATAATCAGATACTGCAGTTTGCCAAGTTATCCCAAGCAAAACTGAAATTCAAATCAAACCTTAAAATGTATGAATATTATAATTAAACTGTATGCAAAACTTCTTTAAAATTAATAATTGTTATAAAATAATAATCCACAGCAATAAGAATTAATAAGGAAAAGTAATGTACTGTAATAACAAAAGTAGCCTTTTTTTGAACTGATTTAACTGATTCAATGCATGTCATAAAATAATCATAAGCGCTTATCTAAATATTAATCTTATATATATTATAGTATATATATTGTGAGAATTAGCTCCAAACGTTAGTGCATTAAGAGCACTTCACTCGCTTAAGTTTTCTTTTTAGGGCTTCTTTGCCCACTTTTATTGATTCAAAAGTCAAAAAAATTCCACACAGGTTTTCCCAACAAATAGTACACACAGAACTGGCAACGAAAACACAGATTAGGCTTCTTGGCTTGTACCTTCAGCACCTGGCTGTTTGGACCCTCTGGTCCTCCTAGCTTTGTCTGTTTCTCTCACAGTCACACAGGCTGGTCCTTACCACATCCGGGTATTGCCACACAGACTGTATCACACCAGCTTGGCACACAGGCTGGTTCCAGGGTGGAGCCCTCCAGACCCCTGCACAGAGACCGTCTCTGTCTGCCAGGTGGAACACTGAAGATTAACCCACATTCTCTTCATAAGGGCTGTGAACAGGTGCACAACTACTCGGTGCTGGTCAACACTAAAGTCCGGACCCAGGAATGGAGATTCCATTCCTCCCAATGCTCTTTGAAATCTCCCAGTTCCAGCAACCCAAGCCAAATCTGGAAAACCTGGGAAGAACTGCAAAGCCATCTCTTTAGCATTAAATATATGTGCTTTCTGGAATTGCTCAGCCCCCCTGGCTGAGAGTCCTGGGTGACTATATTGCACTCAATTATGTGCACCCAATATAGCAAGCTCTGTTAGGATATGCACATGCTCTTCACCTACTTTAGATTTGTTACATGATCCTACTTACATCACATAACGTTAAAAAACGCTTACATTTTTAAATGTGTTTTACTTATGTAATTTACAGAAGGAAGATAAGATTGTTTATGCTTTGAATTCCGCCCAGAGGAAGTGACAAGAACACTGCATTTCTAACAAGATCATAGGTACTTTCCGTAATTGCTGAAAATGTCTGAAAAAAAGGCTAAGATTTCCTTTAAAGAGGAAAAACAACATTAGCATACAAGGGCCTCTTTATGGCTCTTAGCTGCATAATAAAGGTGCTTTATATGGGCCGGCCTATTAATAGGTTTAATTTATAAAATACTCAGTGCTATAAAAGTGGGCCTTTTTTTAAATTGGTAGAATTAAGAAGTCTCCACAAATCTTAGAAGAACAATTTCATTCATTATATACAGTATTAATAAAAAAATAAAAAAAACACATAGAAAATGATATTTGACTTACCTTTTGATTTATTTTCCATTTCTGTCTTCAGTGATTCCTGTGATGTGACCGCTGGTGGCAATTTTTTTCCCATTGCCTGAAAAAGAAAACAGAACTTATTAGACTACGGTACACCAAAACATGATAGATGGACCTCATTTGGAAGAAGTGCTAAATGGAACTCTAGTATTTCAGAACTCCCCAGTGGGTGACTTCCATTCACTTCCTGTTTGGTGACGGGGGTCCAAAGTAAACGGAAAATCTCCCAAAATGAACAAAAGTGACAGAGAGATTAACTCTTAAACTGTTTTATTTAATACAAATTATCTTTGTGAAGAAAGGCATCTAATCCTAAACGTGCATGTAAAAGATCTTACATCTGACAAAGTTTGTGATATACAGTATGTCCATACATTTTAAAAAACTAGATACATATAGGGATAAACACAGTGTATTGTCTTATCCATTTCAGAAAAAATAGGATTTTTGTGCTCACAGTAAAATCCTTTTCTCTGTGTTCATTGAAGGACACTGGAAATTGATCAAAGATCATGTACCACAAGGTAGTATCGCCACCTGGAGGAGAAGGAAGCTAGGCACAAAACAAAAGACAGCCTAGGGGTGGCCTTTGCTAGTGGCCAAACCCTTCACTTGCTGACAAGTCTCCAGTAAGTAACAAGCAGTAAGAAGTACACTCCCCCACACAGAGAGGGCAGGAGCTGTGTTCTTCCATGAATGCAGAGCAATCGTTTTACGATTTCAACAAGAGACAGTGGCTGAGGACACGGCCTGACCCTTTTGAGGACCGTCCAAAACTACAAACAGAGTATCAGTCTTATGAAAGGGAGCCTTAACATCCAAGTATACACGGAGAGCGCGAACCACATCCAAAACAGTAAAGTGCTCTCTCCTTCCTATAAGCGGGCTTCGGACATAAAGAAAGCAAAACCATATTTCATTAAGGTGGAAAGCCGAAACAACTTTAGGAAGAAAAGACAGCCTGGAATGCAACACAACCTTGTCCCTATGAAGGATCGAAAATGGGAACTTACACGTCAAGGCCGCCAACTCCAAAAGCCTGCAGACAGAAGTAATTGCCACCAAAAAAAGGCCACTTTTTGAGACAAAGTCAGAAGCGGAACCCCCCTCAAAGGCTCAAAATGAGGCTCCTGCAACACAGAGAGCACTAAATTCAAATTGCGGTAAGGGAGATCGGACAGGAAGGACGACATGCGTAACCCCATGCACAAACGTACCAACATAGAATTGGCCACCGGGAAAGATAGCCAGAGCCGAAATCTGGCCCTTCACCGTACTCAAGGTGAGACCCTGATCCACCCCACACTGCAGAAAGGTCAGGATCCTGCGTACCGAATAAAAAAGGAGAAAAGAGGGCCCTTGCTTAGCACCAGGCAAAATAAGCCTTCCATGTACGGTGGTAAATCTTCTGGGAAGTAGCCTTACGCACCTTGAGCATCAAGGGAATAACCGAATTCGGCAAACCACAGTTCCTCAGCACCTGGCTCTCAACAGCCACGCTGGTAAATCCAGCAACTGTGAAGCAGGATGGAACATGGGGCCCTGCTACTGTAATAGATTCGCCCGTCCACATCCCCCCAGACCGCGGGCCAGCCTCTCTAACCAGCGGCGTGCCGTCACTAGGAGACCGAGGCGTCAGGCGGCGCTCCCGGCTCCTCCCCCTCACGTTCTCCTCCTCCATAAGATGACGCGGGCTGCACTAGCTCAGCGCTCTAGTGTTGTGAACGTCGAGCCAGTGTACCTCGCTAGCGTCATAGCACTGCCGGAACCGGCCCCCTGCGGCCATAGAGATGCGCCCTACATGTGGAGCTGCTACTACTGCCAATCGGTGCTTTCACAGGGATTCGTTCCCTGCAACCCACTGCCTTCCTGAAGCCTTCAGCTGGACCCTGCTGTCTCTCCTGGATTGCCAGGATTGCACAGGGATTCTGTCCTGCATCTTCCTGGAGCAGCTAGCCTGATACCAACAATTGGACTTAACCCATTACAAACCCCAAGTAACCTTGTCTCACCTGAGGCTCTCCAATACTAACTAATATATGCTCTGCTAATCTGCATATTAGCCAAATTACTGTACACGCACTCTGGTACTCATTTATCTGTGACTCCTTAAAGGCACAGTGCCATAACTTGTGAATGGACTGCTTTGATTTCATTGAATTACATAGTTACATAGTATTTGAGGTTGAATAAAGACATTAGTCCATCAAGTCCAACCTATTAGGATCTCATTCTAGGAGTACCCGTACCCCTGTATATACCATACAGAGTGTGACGGGGAACCCTTGACCCGAGCCGACACAAACAAGCGACTCGCTGATTCCGCAGCTGAGATCCAGCCTACCCACCTGGGCCTGTCCGTTACAGCTACAGAAGATCTGGATGAAGCACAGCTGCCAGGATGCGTCCACGACCATCCGCACCAAGTCCGTGTATCAAGCTCTTCTCGGCTTATCCAGTGCCACAAGGATGACAGGAATCCCACCGGCTGATGCACCGGGGGAAAGGCATATCCTGAGATCCACATCCGGCATTCCCCAATGGAGGCAAATCTGATGTGCAACGACCATTCCCCCGGATCCACCGACTGGCGACTAAGGTAATCGGCCTGCCAATTGTTCACCCCTGGGATATACACTGCAGAAAGAGCCAGAACATGCTCCTCCACCCAAGAGAAAATCCCAGACATTTCCCGCACTCTGGCCATGCTTCTTGTCCCACCTTGATGGTTTATGTATACCATGGGAGTGGCGTTGTCCTGCTAAATTCGAATCGGCAAACCCTGAAGATGGCAAGTCCAGTGCTGGAGAGACAGACGAACTGCCTGAATTGCCGTTGATCGGAACACCGTGTCCATTTACATCAGATTACCCCCGGTCCAGCACGATCTGATCTAGCGAAACAGATCTCTGATCCGTTTGTTTATCCGGACCTAGCTGGAGCTGGGGCTAACCAGGTGTAAACAGACGTTCGTCCATTTATACACAGTGGCCCATAGACTTGCATAGAGCATCCGATCGGGTCCGGCTGAAAAACAGGTGGACCTGATCGGATCGCTCATGTGAAAGGGACCTTAGGTCAGACAAGTGCATAAAAATGTGCACAGTATAGAAACATGTAGCACTCTCAACATTGACGAATATTCTGATATTTAGAATTTATTAATGTGTTCACATAAAGAGGAACTTTACCCACCAATTTACTCTCAAACCACTTACTTTTAAGGCATGCCAACTGTCAAGATTGCAAGTTAACTTATTTCAGCTCTCAGCCAAACTTTTAGGCACTCAAATGGCTGGTGTCATAGCCCATCATATGTGCAGCACCAGGGTAACTGCACCTTCCTTGGCTGTAAAGGATAGGAGGTTGTAGTTACACTTTAACTATCATCAATGCCTGTAAGTGTGAATAGTAGGGCTGCAACCAACCAATCGATTAATCGATAATAATTGATAATGAGAATAGTTGTCAACTATTCTCATTATAGATTAGTTGATTGGTTGGTGCTATTGCACCAGCCCACTACCTGCTGTATTTACATCACCTGCCAGCTGCGGAATCTTGTCACTGGCAGCTGTCATTCCCCCATGCTGAAGCTATTCAAGCGCCATGTGCTTACACTACAAACATTGGAAAAAAAATGTTAACGGTGGGAAAAAAGTCATTTTCAGTTTCAGCCTGACAAATTCTGCTGTGGGAGGTGCATTGCAGTGCCATTCACTTCAATGGCACTCCAAAAGCGCCTCCCATCCATAGTGGAACGCACGGTACCGCAATGCATTGCGCTCCAGGGCAGTGCGAGTGCAAAAAATTGTGCATGCAGTTGTATTCTGAAGTAAAGTTTATGTTTTTAACACAGCATTTGCGTATTTTATTTTAAATTAAGGATGGTGTTTATTTAATTTTTGTATCCGATTAATCGAGAAATAAAATCGGACAATTGCAGCCCTAGTGAATAGTATTTTAAACTTAGGCAATACACAGTATATCAAGTAGCTGAAACATGCAATTAGGTGGGCTAGGGAACAGTAACGTAACTGTTTTTAAAGAACAGAAAAGAGGACAGTGGGCAGTCCAAAACATTACAATGGGTTAAACAACAAAAACACTAGAAGAATCCCATAATTCCAATTTGTACAAAAAAAAAAACAATGTTTGTCGAATGAGATCAACCTACAGCTAAGTATAGAAGTTATTTAGAACTTTGTATGTATAAACTGGATTTGCAAGTTAAAGCAGTACCCCTGATTAGGAAGTTTTTGTGACAGATTTAAAAGGCCAGGTAAAGGTCTGATGAGCAATGTTATGACTTGATCTAGTGGAACATTTTAGACACATCTTAAAAAATGTTTAACCACAGGCTCACTTTATTTCAGTGAACCTAATTTTCTCTCTTTTTAGTTAGTGCGGTTTAAAGCTGAACTCTAAAATTACCTTTAGACTTGCACAGTCAGCTTCTCTCCTGTACTGAATGTCTTACTCTGTTTCCACTGTACACTGTGAGCTTTTCACAGTGTACACTAAAAGCTGCGGAAAGTCAAACAGAGCCCATCTAATTTTCCTGGCTGGAGGACCTTCAGCATCATCTATTCCTTTCCTCACCAGCCTGACTGTCCCTGGCCTGCTCCTTTCATTGACTGAATTTCATTTTTTTTCATTCATGAAGGCTCAGCTTGAAACAAAAAGGAAAAAGGGTGCTCCATAGATCCACCGAACAATACATTTATTACTGTCCTTGCACCCCAGTCACACTAATAATCAACTACCTGCCTCTTACACATATTACCCGTTTGGGCTTAATTGTAAAGTATCTCTATTATTATACAGGATTTATTATTATACAGGATTTATATAGCGGCAACAGTTTGCGCAGCACTTTACAATATAAGGAAGACATTACAATCACAATACAATTCAAGACAAGATGGTAAGGAGGGCCCTGCCCCTGAGGGCTTACAATCTAAAAGGGAGGGCCAAAAAATATATTTGAGGAGGTAGCTCGGTGGGGATGAATTGTTTGAGAACGTGATGGTTGAGTGGTTAGGTTGAGGTGGGATA